AGACACGTCGAAAGCGAATCCATACGTGTGGGAAGTTAATGGGCGCTCCTTTAACAATCTTGAAGTCGGATGTGAGTACATGCGGGTGGAGCAACCACGCTGACTGCATTATTATACGCAGTGCATAGTAAATTGTATACGCGAGATGAAAAGTTGAAAATCAGCCGTGAGCCTGCCAGTGTTTCGATAAAGTCGTACTTTGAGGTAAACACGAATGCTATCTAATACTTCTCCGGCCCACTTCAAAATGACGATTTCAGTTTTGGGCAAAAAACTCTTTAACAAGAGCTAGCTGGTAGACACATGGCACACCACGTCATAGCCCGAAGTACGACGCACAGGATCATATTTTTTTAGGTTGTAAGAAATGGTAAATATGCGCGTGCACGCTGCGATCAAAACCGCCGCGTTTGGAAAGGCATTAGGTTTTTTGTCGCAATTCAGTCAAAAATTAGCGATATTACACCATACTTTTAGAGCGGCTAAACCGGGCAATTAACAACAGCTGGACGCAGTTTCAGACGCAGGGGCTTACTGGAAGCACCGCGAATTAGATGTGTTTGGGGCGAGGTTTATTCGGAAAGTCGAGAGCATTAGTGTAAACCAACTATTTATATTGACCAATCAGTGATTGCCTAAAAATTATAATGATAATTACGAGCAACAAAAGGTTCAATTAACTTCAAATTTACGCATACAGCTGACTATATCCTTTCGTAACCGCATCGGTGTCGACTACAACCGACATTGGCATTCGCGCATTACGTCCAATGTGCTTACTAACGCGCGGAAGCTTGAAATCGTTGCCCCCACCACTAATCATAATAGACTCCATCACTTTCTGGAAAGTGATAAAACACTTGTCAAGGGTTTGCCACCTGAGCTCGTCGAAAGCTTCCTCAACCGCCGTAATAAGGCTGTCAGAGTCGTAGGCAGATTTTCGATACTGTAGAGCTTGAATAGACGAGAAGTATCCCAAATCAAGTACATTTAGGTCGGGTGACCGAGGCGGCTGGCAGCGCATCTTTATCTTCCATCCATCAACCATTCCAGCAGGTTCTAGTTGAGCATCACCTTCTAAAACATGAGGCCCTGCATTGTCCTGCTGGACGACCACGGTCGAGCCTCTGCGAACTAAGAACAAAAAAAATTAATTGAGTTACAGCAATAAAAAATAACACTTGAAAAAAATACCTGGCAGCTTGGATCGAATTGCTGGAAATACTTTTTCGACAAGTAGTTCGCGGTAAAGAGCTCGTGTCATAGACACACTCTTCGTAATTAGCGTACCTTTAGGACGATTAACGGAGCTACGAACCGCCTCAACCTTTTTAACAATAGGCCAAATGCCAATCTTACCATCAAAGTACTGTTTCTTGTGAAAGTCGTAGCGAGGACGTGCGACAGCAGCTAAGAACATGATTTTACCTATGTATCTCTTGTTTGCACAGGATCGATAAGGCAGCTGCTCATTGGCTGTCAGGTAATATCTTGTGGCCCCTTTGTAGAGGTTAAACCACTTTTCATCTACATGCACAGTATCGTACATGTGATGCATGCGGTACATTCGGGCACCTGAGTCAAAACAATTTAGACAAGATAATTAATGGCTATAACAATTAAAAAGGTTGAGTAATAATAACTTTCGAGATGTTACAGTACCTAATGCCATCTCAACATGCGATAAAACCCATTGTAGTCGTTTTGTCTTGTGAGCATCAGTCAGAGTAGGTTTAACACGAGAAGATGCGCGACGTAGAGTCCCATCAGCAAGATACCGCTGTAGCGTAGTGCGTGGTATACCAGATGCAGCCGCCAGTGCTCGTTGGGTTTGCCTCTGGCAAAGCGGCACCCCTTGGACGATCTCGATAACTTCTTGCACCGACAGGCGCCTTCCGCGCTTGGGCTGCACTCGCTTCTGGGCGGATATAAATCCGACCTTTTGGCGCGACTTCCAGATCTTCTTGACGCTGTTGCGACACATATCAAAAGCCTCCATAGCTGCATAAACTGCTCCACGGAGCAATTTACCGTTAGCGCTCCGTTCAGCAAGGAACACAACCACATTGAGACGAGTTTCAGGCGTAATGTCTTGTTTTCCAGGTGTTCTGGGCATCGTGCTAAAACCCAAAATGCGGGGCTGACTTTAGTCTAGGCCAACCATAGTTTTAGTGGCCCGCAGCCATGCAAAACCAAAGTCTTTTTTATCCAATTAAAGTAGATTATTCAGTTATGTGCGATCAATAAAAAACCCCAATCATCATTTTGAAACGGGCCGGAGAAGTACGTACAAGTGGAATAAATTGACACTTTTTATCAAACAGACAACATAACCAAAGCTATTGCATTCTACTATCTGTACGTGTAGATCTAGACGCGATTAATTGAATCGCAGCCGGTACCACCAGCAACCCGTAAGCATGATGTCGCTGGATAAATGCTCATGACGTTGATAATGACAGTCCAGCAGAGTGAAAACACAAAGTAGGCGATCGTCAGATAGCCCATGAATCGACTCGATCCACCGAATCGTTTTAGCTGCTGTGTCTCCGCTTTTTGGCTCGGCAACAGCGGCAAGAAAAGTAGTCCAGCGAGGTTTATCGAGTACCTTATGATGAGGAAGTACGTCACCTCCCAGCGAACGTGCCTTGAGTCCTCGACAATGTCCTCATTTGTTACGTCAAAGTTGCTGCCCACAGCTTTAGTCAACGTACTGGCTAACGGTATGGCAATATTAGTGATCGACCCCACCAGACCGTATACAGCCCCTTCGTTGCCTTCACCCGCCAGTTCCACCATAACGAAAGTTGCGATCACAAACGCAATACCGTTCGGCAACGCCTCCGCTACTGGGACACCCAACCAGAACCACTGGTTTCGAACGATGTCCCACGTCGTTAGCATGTTCACTATTAAATCCAGGACTGTCACGGACACGATCGTGATGGCGTGCATTTTCCTCCAATTCCATTGGAGTCCAATCCTGGCGGTCAAGTACAGTGTCACAGCAAAGATCCCATTTCCTACGACGGTCATGATCTTCTGGTTCAGAGGTGTCACTTGTGCCCAGTACCGTTGCATCGGGTCTGTACAGGTGACGGAGAAGTTTTCGAAGATCCCAGCCAGAAACTTGTACGCGATGACCTGATACATTGGACGCATCTGGATGAGCTGCCAGAGCTCATCCAAATACTCACGGAAAACCACACCAGGGTGAGGGTCTTCCACGATAAAATACCACGAGATCGGGATCACTGGGAAACAGTAGATACAGAGTACGACCATAAGCTGCGGAAATGTCAGCGAGAAGTCGAAATCACCACCGTAGTCTTTGCCGTTGAAGGTCATGCCTGTGAGAATGCTGGAGATCATGATAAACGCAGTACGAACCATGTAGATCGTTGTCTGGGTATACCCTCTTGTGGCTACTGGTTCACGTTGGGCGACTTCGACCATCATGGCGTCTGCTGCCACATCAGCTCCGACGTACCCTATCGCTGCAATCATCATAAGAACGACGAATTTACTACCAGCGTGGTGCGCTGACTCGTTGAAGGTGGCAATGATCTCAGGGGTCAGCTCGTCCTTGTTCATTGTCGCGTACGTGCTGTCCGGGTAGTACGGGTCACCGGCATCCATGCAGGACATTAGCAACAGCATTGAGAAGCAGATAGTCCATCCGATAGCCATGAACGGACGACGTCTGTAACCTCGGATAGGAACGCAATCCGAGATCATACCGAAGAAAAGCTTGAACGACCACGGCATGTTGATTAGCACAGTAGCCGAGACAGCCTGCGTGCCTTCCATATTTAGGTAGTTGAAAAGGAAGGGGTAAATAGTCCCCGGAAGAGTACCGAAAACCATTCCCACAGCGGCATACTGCACGACGAGTCCGATGTAATTGCGTTTCCAAATGTCAATCTCATCACCCTCGCGGAGGGCTCCACCGTCGAACAGCCACGGAGACTTGGATTCAACACGCCAGTCACCCCCCTTTACAGGTGAACCCACAGAGCGAGTGGTCCAAAGAGCCGACGATGTTAGCTCGATTTTCTTCTTGGGCGATGAGCCTCTTTGGTCTTCTAGCATCGGCAACATGGCTTCGGACTAAAGCTGAAAAAGGAGAATGGTTGATTAGAGCACATCTCATGGGGTTTCCAGGCTTGGACGGCCGATACGGGAGACAAAGAAAAGGATCCTGAGAGCGGGACACAGCAGTCTTTCCACGAACATCAGCACTGCTGATTCAGCAGACATTTGGGACCACGAAACGATGGGAAAGGGTACAGAGGCCAGAGCACAACAACTTGATTCGATCATTCTACCCCATGTCGACTTACAGATTACGATTCGGTGTCGTCTGTTGACTCGTTGAGCCGATGCATACGGTATGCCATACCGCACCGGACACTCAGTGCCCGGCACTGTGCCGACATTACTTTCCGACGCCACGACGTAACTCGACGGCGCATCTCGGCCTTGGAATGTTCTCACTGAGAGCGAGCCGCCCACCTCGAAGTTGACTCACGAAAGATTAGAAACGTCGTCCTTTCGAGCACCCCGAGGATAAATTTTAATTGAAAGTTCACCTAAACTAGCCCCAGGTGGCTTCTACGAAAATCGCTCACGAAATGAAAGCTCCAACCGAAGTGTTCATGTGAGACGACCTCGGAGTGAGCCGGTCGCAAGCTTCCACCAGTCGTGTGTGAATTCACTTTCCGTAAGCTTAATTGGCATCGAAGTTACTGGTATGAATCATTGTTTAAGAGTTTGTACCTGCATGCACTGTTTAACATGACTAAGGATACAATATTTTTAAGAATTCCAGAATTACATGTATACGGTATACATCATTAATTGCAAACATAAAATTTGTGGGATTTTGTATACCGTTTATGATAAACGGTATTCCTGTGTGCAAAATCCATATAAAAAATCCGTATGATAAACGGTATACCCGTGTGCAAAATCCCGATAGAAATGCGGCGGCGGCATCCAGTGTCTTTCTCCGCGGAAAGCCGCGGCTCTGAGCCTTGCATCGTCGTCTCCGATTCATTCGCACGTCGTCGCCGGTCCTTCGTGCTTCGCTCCGCCTTCCCGAAGGTCTCCAAGCCTAAGAAACCCCTTAGAGAAGACTCTACTCATACCAACTCCAACTCATTAAGCGGCAAGCGACGACGCAGTATCCAAGACGTCACTGAACCAGTCTCCGGTAGCCATTTGAAGCTACAGCGCTTTGCTCCGACGCAGCGATTGGTCGACGATCGCGCAGACTTCTGCCTGTACCTGGAGCTTCAACTCTCAACTAAACAGGCGCTCGAAGATGCCCATGCACTCGTCCAAGTGACGGCCAGAGCGCTACGTGCTGCTGGCTGCAGTGTATCTGTCCACATGCTACAAGCCCCCGACTCTGAGGTGCTAGCTGTCAGTGAGGAAGAAGCACAGGCGTATGCCTTAACTATAGGCAGTGAAGTACCCGACCAAAGCGTCACAGAGAAAGGAGAATGGGCAGGTCGTGTGGCCATGCAATTAGCTCCATGGGTGACTCAACATCCAGACTATACCAGCCACGTATTGCCCCTTACGGGTGCTGCACAGTGTCAAAGACTGCGTAAATTGATACTCACCGAGCTTCGACTCGAGTTGGATGTGTGTTGCTTACATGAAGGAGGTCATAGTACTCAAGCGAATAGTACAAGTGCTCCAGTATTACTCAGTGCCAGAGAGAAATTACTACCGCAAGTTATGAGGGCCAAGACGTTCACCAATGTGATGCTATACCCGCTACATCGGGACGAAGCGAGACGCCAGTTGACACGCCGATGGGGAGCGCAGAGTGCGCTAGCGCTGCCTCCTTTGCAGGATATCTACGCGTATTTTGGACCGAGAATCGCCATGTATTTCGCCTGGCTGGCGTTTTATACAAAGATGCTGGTATTACCCGCAGTGTATGGCGTTGTAGTGCATGTGCTGGGCCAGCTAAATCTGGCCCCGAGTTGCACTGTGCACTGCGTTTTAGTCGCAATTGGCACGTCGCTTATTGCGGATATGTGGAGACGTCGACAGCGTGAAGTAGAGTTTACATGGGGTTACGATGGGGTACTCTCGTCTCTACATGCCACGACGAGGGTACAGTTCAAAGGCGAGTGGATGCAAGACCCCGTGACTGGGGTACGCTGTTTCGACTATCCACATCATAAGCGTCTTCTGCGGCAACTTCTAGCTGTCCCGTTATTAGTGTCCATGTGCTGTTTAGTAGGAGGGTACGTTGTCGGGCTACACGTATTTTCGGAACGGCTTCGAGCGAGCTACAAGGGTAGCTGCACCCAGGGACCTTATGTAGCGGAAAACTGGGTACCCAGCTACGATACCGTGACGTGCGCCTTTGTATCACATGGTCCAAGCGTCATAAACGCCGTGATCATCCACGTGATGGACAATTTGTATCAGTTATTGGCGCGCAAACTCACGGAATTCGAGAATTACCGTACACTGGATGAACACGAAGCACATTTGGTGGCTAAACGCATGCCGTTCCATCTCGTCAATAGCAACGCATCGCTCTGGTTTCTCGCTTTCTATGTGCGACGACTGGATCATGTTCGTGAGCGTCTGTGGATTCTACTGGTAGCGACACAGCTGATCGATAATTTCAAGGAAGTAGGTCTGCCACTCGCTGTCTCGGTGGGCGGTCAAGTGCTCACAGCGGAGAATAAACGGCGTCGTCAACAGAGTCTTCAGAGTCTTCAGAGCGAGGCAGTTGTAGGGATCCAGCGTCAGCACTCGACGCTTCGAGCCAAGCGTGAGCGAGTCGACGTGGCTAAAGCGGCGACAGAGCAACGACTGGCGCGAGTTCTTATGCAGAAGCGACAGGCAACGTATCGTGATACATTTGCTGACTATAAGGAGCTCATGGTGCAGTTCGGGTACGTGACTCTGTATAGCCCAGTGTTCCCGTTGGCGGCGGCGTTCGCGTGGTTGAATAATACGATCGAGAGTCGATCCGACCTGCTGAAACTCGTGAATCGACACGGATATCAGCGACCAGTTGCCCAGCACGCACGAGGAATTGGCGTGTGGGAGAAAGTGCTGGTGAGCTTTGCCGGTGTAGCTGTCGTTGTTAACTGCGCGCTAGTCTGGACGTACGAACTGGACGAGTTGCTGCCGTCGTGGACTGAACTTCAACGGTTTGCGTTCATTGTGGCGTGTGAACACGTGATCTTTGTCATCAAGGCGTGGCTGAACTGGGCAGCCCCTGAAGTGCCAGTAACGTCGTCACTTGGTAAGAAGGCAGTGTTACCACCGTCCGTGCTTGAGACGATAGTTAATGGAGCTTCGCTGTCTGCTGTAAATGGACAATAAACACTGCCGAGAGTGACGTTGGCTGATGTTACACTGCGCGATGAAGGAAGTAGAAAACACACCTTTTTACTGGCTACCGTTTGAGTCACAGCCAGCTCCTGCGATAGCGAGGCGGAACGTTGATGGATAGATACTACCATGACTGTCCAATACGAAGTAGATGGCGGCAAGGACCCTTGACCCGCCATTTTGTTTGAGTTCTTGAGTTTCTGATTTCTGTCGGTAGCGATAGGTTATCTATTACATGTAGGACCGAACAAGAATACTACCGCCTCGAAAACAAATAATTGCGGAGCAACAATTATTGCCAATTTAGATTTTAATAATTATTATTGACCCTCTACATGAACAAACTAGTACAATATTTCATTGGCCCAATTATTACAATAAAATACCTGGCTACAGTCCCAAACTTGTGCATTGTCCAGCTTTTGAAAATGGGCTTGTGAAGATTTGCGATGGAGAGAAAGTGTCGACCGCTGAATCCGTTGCACTGAGACGTTTTGATGCGCCGCGGTCTGACGAACCGCCGAACATGATGGTCGCAAGCGCAATGACCGCCAAGATAGCTACGCTACCCAGATCATCCAGCAGGGCGGGTCGAAGAAGCGTCACGTGGAGCGAGCGGCGTACACGCCATTGACAGCAGTGGTGCCAACGACATCGAACGCCTGTGAACGTCTCTTCTCGGAGTGCAAGATGGTCCTCACGCCGCAACGAAGCAACATGCCCCCCGCGCACTTTAATATACTCATGTCTCTCCGTGCTAGCAAGAATATGTGGGACGTCACAAGTCTGGCCTAGGTAAGATCATCATTTTGCTAAGGTAACAAGCTTATGCACGTATTACCAATAATTGCGCCGTAGTTGGTATTACTCTCTGTTGTATTCCCGTTTTTATTTTGGAGGTCATGTGAAGTCAACATCGTATATTTTTGTATTTTCCGAGGTCTGTCACATGCGTCACCTCCCACCCACATGCGTGGAGTCCTTGACGATGTCAGCGTTGCTCACGTCGAAGTCACTGTCGACGTTCTTGGCTAGCGCTCTGGCTAAGGGGATAGAAGTATTGGAGATTAAGTCCGCATACCGCACCTTCGTTACCCTCTCCCGCCAAATTTACGATCACGTGCGTTCGATCACCGTATAAATGCCGTTGGGGACACCCTCTACGACTTGCACTCCCAACCAGAACCACTGGTTGCGAAAGCTGTTCCAAGTAGTGAGAATTGCTACCAAGGCTCTCATCGCTACGACCGTGACAGAGTGTGTCGACCTCCACTTTCAGTGGAGACCGGATTACCAGAGAGTGACTGCGAAGATACCGTTGCAAAATCGTCATCTTCAGGCCTTCTGAATAATTCATTGCAGTGAAATAATACGGCAATATCTGAATGGAATAACTTTTTTTCAGCTAGCATTATGATTTAAAGTTTCAGTTAGATATTTCCAGTATGGTCATAAATTATTTGTAGCCCATTCTTCACATAACTATTCAATCCCAGCTAAGCAAAACTGGGAGCCAACCACTGCTGGGTTGGTTGGGAAGTCATTGAGAGTTCATCCAGCTCAAGTCTCCTCATTATCGAGCTCACCATGTTTTTAAAACCAACCCGCAACACTGCGGCTTCTTTTTCTAGTCCGTCATAGACAGCTAGGACGAGCCGACGGGGTAGTTTCGCTGTCGCTGCTCCAAGATTCACAAACAAGACAGCGAAATCGGCTACCAGCACCCCAAATATGCTGTCGACATTGCCAACAGTGGTTTACAAGTGGCACCCTGATTGACTTCATCGATCTTCCATTTAGGTTTTTCGACAATCAGACGATGGCTAAATATGCTGCTGTACCCCTAATCGCACCCGAGACAGCTGAGAAGTACATTGGCTTGATGGTGAAAGCGCTGGAGATCTACATTTTAGTAGGTCTTCCTAAATCATTTTGCATTGTTTGGGATGGATGTTCGCTTAGGTCGGAGTACTAAGTGGTGGTGTTTGGGGCCTTCGGCCATGACGGCAAGATGGAGAAGGTCCCGCTCGCCATAATCCCTCTTGTGGATGACGACACCGTGGGCCATTCTTCTCCTGGTCACGTTTCTTTTCTCCAAGTAGTGCTGGGCTACTTTGGCCGAACGCTGACTGACGTGCTGAGCATCGACGCGGAGGACTGTCCCACGAATGGGTCCATCGCTGTAATTATGAAGGTTCTTTCGCGGGATGTGCGACCCACCGCCTTAGCTTTGCTGTCGTGGAGTACTTGGTGAGCAACGAGGATCTGCTGGACACAGTCTAGCTTTGATGCGTAAATTACGCGGACTCGACATTTTTGCTAGTTTGCTGTGAGTTATATCAAGTCAGAAACATAGGAGTACAAATGTAATTTATTGATTATTTATCTAATTTAATTTTGACTTGGTAAAATTGAGGGGAAAACAAGTTGAGGTCAGTTCTCCGTCACACGACTCTTTTTGATTTTACCTAAAAGATGCAATTAATGCCCTGGATGACGCCACGACTGCGCTGATGCCGTCACGGCGCGAAGAAAACCAGCTGAGGCGGGGGGGGGAGAAGGTTCTTGGGGAGCTGAAAGCATTTGAATCCTCCTCGAAGAAGCTCCAAAGTGCCGACCGACTGTCACTTCTCGATGTTTGAGATATTTTCGACTCGCGGATCGCCGAACATCCTGGTGTTGAGGGCTACCTGGGGATGGACACTGGCATCGTCCAGCAACCTGAGTTCGAGGATGCCTGTATCACCGCGGTCGCCGGAAAGGCTGAAATTATCACAGAGTATCAACGCTGCTTCTATTGTTTGATTATCACGTAACGACGCCCTCACCGGCGGAGGACAAGACGCTTGGGTTTGCGGAACGATCGTCAAGAAGTGCAAGCTACAACGTGAGACGCCTTGTGAATACCCAGAAATTGCGTAAATTCCTCCGACGTCCGACATGTGCGAGCGGGTTTTTAGTCAAACGAACATGTCATGTGAAACCGTCGCCAAGGCCTAACCTCGAGCTTTTTTTCTAATGGTAAACCGCCACCTTTGGAGCGTGAAGACCGTCGCTGATGTCGTTAATGCATCCAAATGAGGTGTATTTTGGAAGTAGTGGTGTGAAATTGCTCGTATCATAACAAGTTTGTATTTGCCAATATCAAATATTTCTCTGCAAGTACTGATGTCACTAAAAAAAGTAAGAATCGCATTTGCAGTTGTATCATTGGAAGGCCTGGTCACCCTCTTCTTATTAAATGGGGCGAGTACGGTTGCACCAGGTCTGCACAAGAAATGATGAGTTCTCGGAGATGCCCGGCAAACCTGGTAGGTGATGACTTGGTACACCAGACGTAGCTGCATGGACTCAGTCATGTAGTTTTCGCCAAATCAAGTCCGATCCCAACAGCTTCGTGCAACAACAGCTAAGCAAATTGTACTCACCGAGCCATTTTCCATGTTTATGGGCTCACACTGCCGGGCGACGGCATATCATAATTTTATTAACTTCGCACCATGCCGGAAATTAACGAAAAAAGGTGCAATATATATCACATACCCCGGGAGTGGATGTATGCCGGAACCGGACCGTGTTAGCTGGTTCATTTGGGTAGTCGGATAAGTACATTATTTTCGGATTAGCGCACACACAAAAAGGCTTCCGTTCGAATATCGATACCTCAGATGTCTGCAGCGAACAGCTACCATGGCGGCGGCCTACACGAGTGACAATGGTGGACAAATCGATCAAAAGGAATCGACACTGACCCAAACCAGCTTCATTACCAATTTAGACGTGCTCACCTGCTCGCGCCATTAGTGGCGCGGTCTAAAGTCGAATGCCAAAGTGAGTGCTTAGTTGGTTGGATGTTTTCCATAAGTGGATGATCAATACGGCCGACTTAGACTACGTGGAGAAGGTTGCCGAGAAGTATTTGTCTTACTAAAAGAATAACTACACGATCGCTAGGGCCCCGACAGTGCTTCTACGTCCAGGAAGTGCCACTATCACTGATCTCAACTTTGTCATTCCATGGTAGCTCCAACAGCGTTTCAACGGCGCTTCAATCGAGTTTGCAAATCGACGCGATACGATTAGTTACTACGCATTGGTTGGGAGCGGTCCGGACGATGACGTGGCGGTGGCTATCGTGGTAGCAACGTTTTTCTCCATTTAAGTGAACCTTTCATTAATGTATTTCCAATACTTGCTTACTCTAATGTTTATTGTAATGTGATGAACAGGTCTTCCGTGCGACTTCAACTAGACTACTATCCAATATGAAGACAGTTGTTGAATACCGTAAGGGTTTTGAGTTGATTAAGCGAGACTGAAAAAAAGTAAAGTGTAGAAAGTAGGCGTTGTACGTGTAAATCACTTCACTATTGAGCGCGTGCCAGACGCGTTTCAGCCCCCGTCTGGGCTTCGTCAGCGGCTTTACCAATCCTGAATTGAGAGCTACTTATCTCCGTCGGTGTCTACCTGCTTCAACTTTCTAGAACCCTCCAAAGCTACCCTCTACAGGATTTCTACTCTGCTGTAGACCTGCACTACCATATGTACCAAACAAGGTACGTCCAACATGAAGAGCTGAAGCACGAACGCTTAGAGGATATTACTGTCTCTCCTTAAGTTATTGCAACAGAAGTTGCGCAGCTGATGAGAAAATCAACACTATCCATATTTCTTACAACATCCTCGGGTGCAGTTGGACGCCGTATTCGGTCTACGTTTGGTGACATCGTGGAAAAAGTAGCTCGAAGCAAACAGCACAATGATGCTGTGATGGCCGCGGCTCTGTGACACGTGACAAAGTACAGCACTTGCGGCTATGCGGTACACTTCGCGTGGCGCGTGTGATAACTGTTCAGCGACACATAAAACTTAACATCAAGGCCATTTTCAGAATTGGAGGAACGAAATCTGCCTTGCGCCTTTTATAAATCCCGACTCTGCTAATGGTTATGTGTGGAGATTGTGAGCCCTGTATGTCTTGAAACAGGCCC